ACATGCAACACACCATATGGGGTGGAAAACTAACATCGCATGTTAACGAGAACTCTGTAGCCACTTTGAGGCATGGAAGTGGCAGCATCATGCTGTGGGAACGCTTTTCTGCAGCCGGTCAGGTTAATCCCGAACGGAACAGAAGTTCTAATTTGGAAGACCATGTATTATTTTCTTCTTATTTCACAATGATGAGCCACGTTCCTTCAATCTGTCGCATAAAAATAAAACACATTGAAGTTTGTGAATGTAATGAAACGAGATGCTTTACACAGGAAACGCAAAACTTTTAAAGAAAAGTGCAATCGTAAAAGGTACTGTTTTAAGATTTTAGTTAAGCAGCATTTAGTAATGAAACTTTGACAAATTTAAGATCCAGAATGAAGGACTGAGCTTTCCTCCTACCAAATCCACCAAGGTATCAAACCAGAGAGAGAAAATGAATTCAGACCAGTGAGGCCCTTCCAAGTTCAAGCCTCTGATGAGATCTTAAGGATTGTTTGTTTTTCTGCTGTCGAATGTTCAAATAGGCAGAAGGAGAAGGTTTTGATGACCTCCGGCCTTCGGGTCCTAAGTGGGTGTTCTGCAAACACTCCCTATTGACGTGTGGATAAGTAGAAGCCCGCTGCCGTGCAAAGTACTTATGCTCATTTGAGTGGAAATGGACATCGCTGTGAAAAGAGCAAAGGCCCGAGCGAGTGGCTGAAAAGCGGAGAGAGCACAATATGAAGAGTGAAAGTGTCATGGTTGCCGTGTGTGCGCACGAAAATATGTGCGGATGCAAAAATCGTTCTTTTTGTGAGCGTTTCGCAGGGAAGCTGCAGCGGCTGCGGTTCAGTAGATGACGATGCAAAAATGCACAGCAATGAGGAATAAAAGGCTGAACTTTCTCTCCAGCGAACACCTGTCCAGAGGGTTTCCTGGTGATGAGGAAATCAAAGTGGAGGCACAAAACAAAACAAAAAAAGTGATTTAGCAGACAATATAAAAGCATTGTTGCTGCTACTCAGAGCTACAAATACAGTCCTTCAAAAAAACATGCGACACAATGCTTTTCTGCACTGTGTCGCATGACGGCCACAAACTCAAAGGTTTTCAGTAATTTTTTAGCCTTTTGAGCTATCTGTCTAGCAGTTTGGCACATCTAGCCATTGTAACGCATGAATAAGCTTTGACCTAAACCATTGCACCGTATCTGTGGCTGGATGTATTCCTCCGCCCCCAATCTCACCCCCGTTTCCGGGTGTAACGTAGACTATGTAAGAACTTCTTTTTTCCCCCCCAACTACTCACTTTTATTCAAAAGTTTTTAAATATCCACATGTGAAACTGTAAACAAATGAAATAAATAATATAATATAAAATAAAGAAATTATTTTAAAAAGTATTTTGCAACTTCTAATACGTTTGCATACAAAACTGAGTCATGTTTTGCTCCCCATCAGGTTTGATACCCAACATGATTTCTGACAAAAAGCTGTAACCCAAACGCCACCAAATGGTTGCACTCAAATTTATTCAAGGGAAGCAGAATAAAGAGGGCAAAATAAAAGTTTATGCTGTTTTTTTTTTTTTTAATTTAAAGCACATTTTACAAACTTTACTTCCTTCTAGTTCTTTTGTCATAAAATAAGAAGTTTCCGGTTCTAATGTGGCAAATTGCGACTAAGTTTAAGGGCTATGAATCGTTGGCAACAAAAATATTAACGTAATAATTTTATTTATTAATCAAAATAATAAGCATCCCTATCTTGGAAACCTGGAGTTTCTGTGTGTGTTTATATGTGTGATATGTAGGCCAGGCAGGAAGTGACCCATAAACATATCCATCCAGCTCTTTCATTGGGGGCCAGTGTTGCCCTCCTCATCCTACTCCATACATACATACACACACACACACACACACACACACACACACACACATCGAAGGCCCCCAGTGAGCGTTAAGCAGGCCAGCGGGCCAGCCGAGGGGGCTCATTACAGGTTCACAGAGCCCCCCAACACAAAAGGCCTGAGCCGCTTTAGCCATGGGATGATCTGCTCTCTACTGACTAGAGAGAGTCCATAGACGGACAAAAGACGGGAGGAGGAGGGGAAGAGGTGGAAGAGAGCGTAGAAGAGGAGAGGAGAGGAGTGGAGAGGAGAGCCGCGGGCTTTAAGGATGTCAGGAGACCCCGAGAGAGAAAGCCTGGCGGGCGCTCAGAGAGGATCGGAGGGAAGGAGGAGGAGGAAGCTTAAGCTCCACGGCTACGTCAGGACATTAACATTCACACAACCTTCCAACATCTGCTGCTTCCTCCTTGCCCTCCATCCCTATCTCCCTCTGCCCACCAACAACTCTGGAACAAAGACAGGAGGATGGAGAGTGAGCTGAGAGACACAGGAGGGACAAATAAAAAAAATAAATAAATAAAAAAGTCACTAATAAAGAAATGTAGCCAAAATAAATGAAGGATTTACTACAAGATACTTAAGTATTAATAATGATTTTTAAATAAAGAAGATGGCAGTGAGAAACAATATGCATCCCTAGCTTTTATCTGACTGGTTAAACTCAAAAAAAGTGAATCAAAGTAGTTTGGACAGGGCCGGATTTACAAGGACGTGGGCTCCTGGGCTGGAGCCAGTTTGGTGCCCGATCAGCGACAAAAAAATTCTTCTAATGCAAATAACAATACATAAATAGGTAGTTTTATACATGAACTGATGCATGGTAGGTTTAAAACATCCTGTGAAAAGTAGCTTCATTTTGTTCCCAGAAAATTACAAGAACTTCATCATTTTCAAGTATTGTTTATATTCAGAAAAGGCCCAAAATGTTAATATTTGATGTAGACCTATGAGTTTTATATAAAGTAAAATGCAAAAAGTGCATTCATTAATAAATAAATAAATAAATAAATAATGTGGGGCTCCCCCAAACAAATTGGTGCATTAGCCCTTTTCTAAAGTCTGGCCCAGACATTATATATGTCTGATGACAGGAGGGAAAAATTTATTTTTCTTTATTTCTTCCTATTTCAGCTGCTGATCACCAATCAGAGTTCAACTTTTAACTCAAATCTGTCGCTAAACCAACTGTATCCACAGGCCTGATGCAGACCGTTCAGTCCTCTGTTGTCAGGAGGACAATCTTTGACTGGGCCATAAACGTTTTATTTGGACGCCTCCATGAGAGATAGAGAGAAAAACCAGAAACCCAACCAGCACATTAAAGCCTCTCCTCTCACGGTGCGCCAGGCCCTGAGCCTGCGTCTGCAACTGTCTGGCCCGAAGCACTCAAAGCCACAAGCTCAAAGCCGGGAGGCTTTATTGCCATTAGCGGAACATTAGCGTTAAAGTGGGATGGAGAGGTCGGGGCATTTCGCATGCCGAGGATAAATACTGAATCAAGATCAAGCGTTATTCTTAAACTTGACTGCTACGCAGAAATTAAGTTGTTCCCACTTCAAAAAAAAAAAAAAAAAAACCCAAAAAAAAAAACCCTCCTGTCACCACAAGTAAACTATGTCGAGTAAATTTAAAGCATGACGAAGTACATAATACATGCCTCACAAAGCGCGATTCAGCAAAATCAGATCAAGGGATGGCAGTGTTGTTCTTTGGCCTCCGCAGCAGCTGAACAAGTCTTAAGTGAGGTGCGTATGTAGCTGGCGGGTGCTTTATAGATGATGTATAGATGCCTGGTCCTTTCATATATTTCCTGTGGTGAAATTAGAGCCTTGTTCTGAAGTGCTCTGTGCATCTGAGTGTGTGTGTGTGTGTGCGTGCGTGTGTGTGTGCATGACTGTAAACATGAAGACATCTTTCTCCACAGTCAATCTCTGCCTGTCACATCTGGCTCGCAACTCTACCCCTCGAATACACACTGGAATATATACACCGTGTGCATGGTGACATCTATGACTTATGTACTGGGAGGAGCGTTTGAAATTAAGCTGCAGTGAATATGGGCCCGCGAGCGGTCAGAGTGGGTAGAGCGCGCGCGCTCCCAGTTGTCTGAGTGTAGCTGTGGTACGTGTGGGGAGAGAAGTGTGAGACTGCGTGTGGGAAACTGACAATGAAACCTGAAGAACATGTCATTTTCGATAAAATTTCAGAAAACAGCTGACAGCTCTTCAGATTTTCTCAGCTTTATTTATCCTCTACTCTTATATTACTTCATAATTAGATTTTTTTTTTCTCTCTTCCCAGCCAGAATATTGTGTATTCTGGGAAAGTATTTATATTCGTTGTTCGTTTTCACAGTCTATCAAGTTACAGCCCCAAATTTCAACGTGTTTTATAAGGATTTCATGGGAGAGACCGACAGAAATTAGATGCAAACCCCCCACAAAATATCTGGCCTTTAATCTGAAGCGGCAACCTGAGTAAAGAGATTAGAAAAAAAACAGCCAAAAGGATGGTGGTAACTCTGGAGGAGATGCAATGACCTTCTGGTAGAAGAAACTACTGACAGGACAACTATTAGCTGTGGACTACGCAAGTCAGAAGTTCATGGAAGAGCGGCAAGAAAGCTGTCATTGAAAAGTATAAAAAAAAGACTTGCATCACTTGTTGCCCTTACAAATGAAGTAAAGGAAACAACACACATGTGGAGGAAGGTGCTCTTATGTAATTATATTTATACATTAGTACGTGTGAATTTTATAAACTCTATTGTCTGAGTCCATTTGTACTACTCATGTTCCTTGAAATGGCCTCTTGAGGACAAATAATATCGCTATTGTGAAACATAATGTTGGCAGCATGGTGATGTGTGAGAGCTTTTCTTCAGCAGTGACAGAGAAGCTGGTAAGTGTTGATGAGTAATTCTGGAGGAAAATCTACGGGAAACACTAAAGCAGTCGGAGAAACTCTGGCACGATTTGAATCAAAGCAAAGTCATCTATTAGAATGGCTCAGTCAAAGTCCAGTTCTAAGAATCCATTTCTGTCTCTAAATATGTGGAGAAGTCAGACTTACATGGAAGTGGACAAACATGAATGTTATGCACTTACCTGCTGCCTGCAGGACCAAATGCATTCGAACCTTCGCCTGCTCTGCTGGAGTCTGCAGGAAAGTGACAAACAGGTGGGGTTGTCTTGGTTACAGGTCATCAGGAGGAAGGTCAAGTTTGTTCAGGGCAAATAAGCAGAAAAAAAATGACAATAAACAGAACCAAACCTGCTTACCCTTTTCCTGACTGATACTTTTGTAACATCTTTAAAAAAGTGAGTTGTGCTAAAGTACATAAATAACTAAATGTCAAGAATATTGATTTAGGACAGCTAAGCATTATTTCAGTTTAATTAAATTCACCATCATTTATGACCAGAGTGAACTAAAGAAATTTAAAACTGGATCAACTGAGTCTGTTTCAGGATGTGAACACTTACGCAACCAGGTTCTTGCAGCTTTTTTTTTTTTTTTTTTTAATTTTTAAAAATTTAGCAAACTCATTTGTTTGTTTTTCTTCTGTTGGAAACTGTGGCCCAAAAGTAGAAAAAGTATATTAGTATCTAGTTTTTCATGATAAAAATGGCATTTTAACAGGGGTGCCAACACTTTTGAAAGCTTCTGAGTCAATTTGCTTCTCGGAGTAAATCAGATCCAAAGTCGGAAGAACAATCAGCTCGTTTACTTTGCCGCGCCGCCGCCTGAGAGATCACACAGCCCAGGACAGATGCCATACTCACACAACTTCATCCATGTAATATTGTGATAAAACAGCTTTGTCCCTTAGGCTAAAACAAATTTCACCCACGATAATCTTTAACTGCCACTATTACACTATTATGCACCCGTAAAAATGTCCTCACGGAGTACCCAGGGACAACTTTAGCGAGTTACTAACCCCGTCATCTGTGGAAGGAAAAGAGAAAAAAAAATAAAAAATACGCTGCTTCCGGAAAATAAAAAGAAAGCAACAACTCTGACACACCAGGGAGAATCAATGAAAAAGAGATAAAGAGAAATTTAGAGACAAAGAACGAGAGCGAGAGAAGTGAGAGGGGAAGAGAGAAAACAAAAGCTGCTGTAACAAGTCTTTGGAGAGTTGGATAAGAGGGCACAGAGAGCACATTTTACAAAGATCACAGCCAAAGACTCAACATATTCCCCTTCCTGTTGTGTGCGCGCTCGCTCGCCGGCGCGTGCGCGGGACACATTAAGCGGGAGCCAACGGGGGAGGGCCCTGCGCTCTGACAGCTGTATTGGGAGGCGCAGCTCTTTTTCCTGACATGCCCTCTCAAAAGGGCCTCGCTGTAATTCCAATATCATTGCTATTAGATTTGTGGGTCTTAATTGTCAAGAAAGAATGATGGCTACGACGGAGCTATAAAAAGGCAGCGCGCGCCGCAGATTGCTCTTGGAAGGTTTTTGTGGCGCTGCCGGAGCACGGCGGCCCCTCGTTACCATGCAGCGGTGGAGACGGCATGTAGGATTAGAGAGAAATTAAATGCTAATGGGGATGGGATCTGAATCTGCTGCCTGGGAGCATCATTTAGACGACAAGGCCGGGGCGTCGCTGACAGGCAGCGCTTCCTCCCTCCTCCTCCGCCTCCTCCTGCTCACCCAGCTTTTCCTCTCAATGTTCCCGTCTTCTCACTCCCCGCTCCCACCGCTGGCAGGAAAAAAAATCAGATTTATCAAACTGTAAACTTGTCACTTTGTAAAAACGTCACTTTTCGGTGGCAGTCAGGGGAAATATAATGACCCGCTTTAATGTCGTGATGTCAGGGTGCCGCATCCTAGACGGAACGCGCTTCAAGGCGCCGCGCAGACACCCGCCGGGATGCACTTAATGCAAGTTAGGGGTAGCGTGCGTGTACGGGTTCTGCTTGAAAACCTAAAATAAAATGTGCTATTATGCCTTTAAAAAAAAAAAAAAAGGCACAGTGATTGCTTCCATATCGGCGTCCACGAGAAACCGATAAAACGAAATCTGTTAGCATCTTTGAAGCCGTTTTCCTCGTTTGCAGCAAATGCGAGGGATTAGAGGCAACGACGTGAAATCGCTGTACTGGATTCAAACCCGCTGCTCTTCAGATTACCCTGCTGAACAATTACAATGACACACAGCTCAGTCACGGCACAATCAGTCACCTTAAGCAATAACACCACACATAAATACGTCACAATCATTTTAGTTACAGTTTATTACCATGCACACCCAGTAATTACATTAGCATTTGTTTACGTTGGCCTTGAGGTATATGTAGGACCACGCATTGTGAACACACAACCGCACGCGCACACACACACACACACACACACACAAAGCAAGCTCAAGTGGAACTAAACATTGAATCCTAACATTGGTGCGCTCTGCTCTGTCAGCACTGGAGCTCTATACAAAAACCCCAGTCAGGATTTCCCCCCACATGTACCGTGATATGCGAGAAACGTTATAAGTGAGAAATTAAATTAAGCTGCATCTTCATTACTCTGTGGTATCAGAGCTCAGGATGACCAAAGCAACAACTTTAAAAAGTCACAACAGCATAATTCAGTTTACAGTGTTAAATGGGACATTTAAACTGTTTTGAGTGACTTTCATTGGCAATTAGCACAGTTAGCATCTGTAGCTGTTTCCTGCGTTGTACATATTTCTACACAGTGTCTGCTCTTCCATCAGTCAGACAACATTTTCAAGCAAGACGAGGAGTGGATATTCTTTCATATCATACATTCGTCTCGGTTTATTTGAAAAGCATTAACGACATTAAAGAAATAAGTGGAATACAAACCAGTTTTGCAGTAATAAACGGAGACTGATAGAAGAAAATGTGTCCCAAAGTATAAAGGACTGCTAAACAGTCTTACAATTACATATTTTTTTGCTTTCCAACACATTGTTTCCTTATTTCACGTAGCTACTTCCTCTGCGCATAATTAATTAGCAAACAATAAAGAAGTCAGTAACTGAGCTCTCCAGAGGCAGGTTTTTGCACCTCCCACAGGGAGGAAGGCGTCTGAAGTGGCATCCCACCGTACGCAAACAAACATGAGGGAGAAGATGTTCTGGGTGGGTTTCTGTTTAGAGAGACATTTTGATTTAAACGAGCAGAGATCGAATGCTAAATAGAACCAGGTGATAAGTCGGAGATATGTTGCTCAAAAGAGAAAGAAAAAGAAAAAAAAAGAGACAGGAAGAAAGAAGGAAGAAGGTTAATATACTTCTTCTATTGAACGGCGTTACATTACAGAGCAATTCATACAGTTAATGGACTTCACTTATGTACTGCAGTGCTGTTAACCAGTGAAAAGGATGACGTGCCTGGCAATAACTAACTGATGTAGTGTGTAGTGCCTGTGTCCAAACGCTGTTTGTCCCTCTTTGATTTTTTTTTTTCTCTAAACGCCAGCATTTTTTCCTCCTTTGTTCCTAATGAGGAGATGGCGTATGCGGCCACCTAGAGAAAAAAAAAAAACAACAAAAAACAAAACTGCTGCACCCAGCATCTTTTGTCAAACATTTCTACAACAATTATTTGTTCTTTCACTTTTGGTTCAAGATCTCAAAAATTCCCGTTGAAGCTGACAGCATCGCCCCGGTAAAGAGAGCAGGAGAACAGACCTTAAATCTTAATCGGTATTAAATAAGAGGAGTAAACGATCACAAGGAAGACTAAAAAAAGGAGGGCCGGGATCAGAGACGAGCTCCAAATGTTACTGCTGAAAATGTGATGAGGACAGAGTGGAAACTGCTGAAAGGTAGCCTGTTTGAAATTTCTCTCTTGTTCATAGAAAATCCATCCAATTATACAATCAAATCTCTGCAGGCCAGTCTTTGCAACCTGCAACAGCCAGACACCTACTGAAATATAGATATAGGTGTACTTCCAGACTCTTTTTTTTTCATACAAAGTCAGACCTATACAAATCCAGATCAATGGGAAACTCTGTTGTTAGCAAGAGTAAATAACCTGATAGGATTCAAACTTAAACTGGAGTTAAAATAAGCACATCAGCTGGACAGTGGACATTTCATACACACCCGGATTAACTGTTGCTCTTTAATGACTAAAATGCTGGTACTCCTAAAAACTACTAATGCAAAAATTCATCAGATTCTTCTAGATTTTATATGTTCTTGTACATTAGGGGTTTTTTTTGTGACAAACAATGTTATTTTGGTTGCTGCCGTTTCCTAATTTCATTAAAAATGTTCTATTAAAACATCCAATTTTACCAAAGTGGCTTATTTTTGTTCATCTTGTCAATCTGCATTAACCATCCAACATTCAAAGTGCACATACTTTCTCTTTGTGATACGTAAAGCAGACTACTGGATGTGAACCACATTAGTTGGAGCGCCACTGAATCCATTTAAGGCAAAAATCCTTCCACCTCACCATCAACGCTTATAGGAAGAGTCCTAAAAAAATTAAATAAAATAAAAAATAAAAAAGTCCTGCGTTAGACAAATCTACCACTATTTGTTTATTACTGCCAGATAACACTTGCCGTACACATGGCAGGAAGTCCAGCGTGCTCCCAATAAGCCCTTTAGCCTGCGCCGCTACCTAATCACAGCGACGACAGACGCACTGAGACACGCTCAGCCCAGTTAAGTGCCCAGTGTCTGTTGCGCTACTCAAAAATAAACACATCCCATTAGAAAAATAAATTATCCTCACTCTGCTTTGTAAAGACAATGCAATCCTGTGTATAATGAGCATGCAGGAAATTTAATCTATTTGTAGCCTTGTTCTGGTAAAGCAGGAGATTATTATCGTCATTATTACCACTGAGGCTGAGGCCAGGAAGGCAAAGCGGGAGCGTGGTCGGTCAGTTCATAACTGGAGGACACAAAGAAAGGAAGAGCAAAGGTCAAACAGGACGTTTCTGCCGAAGTCGGGACCAGATTTGTTGGACTGCTTGTCTCACTAAGTGATTTATTTTCTCACTCACGTTTCGGCAAATAGGAGAGAAAAGGAACAAACCATGAAACTGCGGCAAACGCCTCACTGTCGGCAGCGGTCTGTCCCTTGCATAATCTGCGCGCCCGTTTGTTTTTCACTAATCTCTCTGTCAATCTGTGATAATGATCTTCAATTCACGTCAGT